GGTCAGGGTCTGATCAGTTAGACTGTTACTGCTGGCCGCATGCAAACTGACGTACGAACTACAGCCTGGCTGGTAAGGTACTGACTTTAGGTGCCTGTCCAGTGCCTTCCAGAAGATAGCCAGGTGTCTATTGGTAATCCCCCTTATGTATGCTGGGAGGCAGTTGAACAGTCTTGGGCCCCTGACACTTGCTGTGTTGTTTCTCAGTGTACTCGTGGTGCCAAACTTGCACACGAAAATCACTCCATAGAGAGTGATTTCCATGTGCAAGTTTGGTACTAATCACTCTAGGATTTTCAAAGTTTATATTATCATGTATCTCTCTCGCCTGCATTCCAGGGAATACAAATCAAGGGGCTTCAACGGTTTCCTGTTATTTAGGTGCTTTATCATATTTATGTGTGCTGTGAAAGTTATTTGTACACTCTCCAGGTCAGCAATTTCGCCTGCTTTAAAGGGGCAGTTAGTGTAAAGTAGTATTCCAGCCTAGAGAGAACTAGCAATTTGAAGAGAATCATCATGGGCTTGGCGTCAATTGTTCTGAAGGTCAATATATCTGAAATGCGTAGGGAGACACTGGTCAGAGAAATAGCAAGCATCGAACTTAAGCTAAAGGAATCTTATAGGAGTCAGGAATCGCGGGAAGAACTAAAAGCCATAAATGAAATCGAAAGAAACCCAAAGTATTTCTTCTCCTATGCCAAATCAAAGTCGAGAACAACGTCCAGTACTGGGCCCCTACTTAAACAAGATGGGTCCTACACAGATGACAGCAAGGAAATGAGTGAGCTACTCATGTCCCAATATGACTCAGTTTTTAGCAAGCCGCTAACCAGACTGAGAGTCGAAGATCAAAATGAATTTTTTATGAGAGAGCCACAGAATTTGGTTAACACAAGCCTATCTGATGTTATCCTGACGCCAAATGACTTCGAACAGGCGATAAATGACATGCCCATGCACTCTGCCCCAGGGCCAGACTCATCGAAATCCGTGTTCATCAAGAACTGCAGGAAGCCCCTATCACGAGCTTTTACCATCCTATGGAGAGGGAGCATGGACACGGGGGTCGTCCCACAGTTACTAAAAACAACAGACATAGCCCCACTCCACAAAGGGGGCAGTAAAGCAATAGCAAAGAACACAGACCGACAGCACTAACATCCATATCATAAAAATCTTTGAAAGGGTCCTAAGAAGCAAGATCACCACCCATCTAGATACTCATAAATTACACAACCCAGGGCAACATGGGTTTAGAACAGGTCGCTCCTGTCTGTCTCAACTATTGGATCACTACGACAAGGTCCTAGATGTACTAGAAGACAAAAAGAATGCAGATGTAATATATACAGAGTTTGCAAAAGCCTTCGACAAGTGTGACCATGGCGTAATATCGCACAAAATGCGTGCTAAAGGAATAACAGGAAAAGTCGGTCGATGGATCTATAATTTCCTCACTAACAGAACACAGAGAGTAGTCGTCAACAGAGTAAAGTCCGAGGCAGCTACGGTGAAAAGCTCTGTTCCACAAGGCACAGTACTCGCTCCCATCTTGTTCCTCATCCTCATATTTGACATAGACAAGGATGTCAGCCACAGCACCGTGTCTTCCTTTGCAGATGACATCCGAATCTGCATGACAGTGTCTTCCATTGCAGACACTGCAAGGCTCCAGGCGGACATCAACCAAATCTTTCAGTGGGCTGCAGAAAACAATATGAAGTTCAACGATGAGAAATTTCAATTACTCAGATATGGTAAACACGAGGAAATTAAATCTTCATCAGAGTACAAAACAAATTCTGGCCACAAAATAGAGCGAAACACCAACGTCAAAGACCTGGGAGTGATCATGTCGGAGGATCTCACCTTCAAGGACCACAGCATTATATCAATCGCATCTGCTAGAAAAATGACAGGATGGATAATGAGAACCTTCAAAACTAGAGATGCCAAGCCCATGATGACACTCTTCAGGTCACTTGTTTTATCTAGCCTAGAATATTGCTGCGCACTAACGGTACCTTTCAAGGCAGGTGAAATTGCTGACCTAGAAAATGTACAGAGAGCCTTCACGGCACGCATAACGGAGATAAAACACCTAAATTACTGGGAGCGCTTGAGGTTCCTGAACCTGTATTCCCTGGAACGCAGGCGGGAGAGATACATGATTATATACACCTGGAAAATCCTAGAAGGACTAGTACCTAACTTGCACACGAAAATCGCTCACTACGAAAGCAAACAACTTGGCAGACGATGCACCATCCCCCCAATGAAAAGCAGGGGTGTCACTAGCACGTTAAGAGACCATACAATAAGTGTCAGGGGCCCGAGACTGTTCAACTGCCTCCCAGCATACATAAGAGGGATTACCAACAGACCCCTGGCAGTCTTCAAGCTGGCACTGGACAAGCACCTAAAGTTGGTTCCTGACCAGCCGGGCTGTGGCTCGTGCGTTGGTTTGCGTGCAGCCAGCAGTAACAGCCTGGTTGATCAGGCTCTGATCCACCAGGAGGCCTGGTCACAGACCGGGCCGCGGGGGCGTTGACCCCCGGAACTCTCTCCAGGTAAACTCCAGGTATCATTCTCCTGGCAGATACGATAGATACAATGTCGTGGTCTCTGAAGGCAAGATCCTCTGACAATATCACTCCTAGGTCCTTCACATTACTTTTCCGCTCAACTGTATGGTTAGAATATGTTGTATACCCTGATACAGTTTTAATTTCCTGAAGTTTTCCATATCTGAGTAGTTGAAATTTCTCTTCATTGAACTCCACATTTTTTTGAGTGGCCCATTTGAAGATTTGGTTGATGTCCGCTAGGAGTCTTGCGATGGAGGTCCCTGACATGGCAATTATGGTGTCATCTGCAAAGGAAGACACTGAGCTATGGCTTACATCTCTGTCCCTGTCAGATATGAGGACGAAGAATAGGGTGAAAGAGAGTACTGTACCTTGTGGAACAGAGCTTTTCATCGTAACTGCCTCGGACTTTACTCTGTTTACTATTACTCTTTGTGTTCCATTTATCATGAAGTTATAGAGCCATCAACCAACTTTTCCTGTTATTCCTTTATCACGCATTTTGTATGCTATTACACCATGGTCACACTTGTCGAAGGCTTTTGCAAAGTCTGTGTATACTACATCTGCATTTTGTTTATCCTCTACAGCATCCAGGACTTTGTCATTGTGGTCCACTAGCTGGGACAGGCAGGAGGGACCTGCTCTAAACCCGTGTTGCCCTGGGTTGTGTAATTGAAGAATATCTAGGTTGTTGGCGATCTGGCTTCTTAGAACCCTTTCAAAAATTTTCATGATATGGGATGTTAGTGCTATCGGTCTGTAGTTCTTTGTAATTGCTTTACTGCCACCTTTGTAGAGTGGGGTTGTCTGTTGCTTTTAGTGTGTGTGTGATACCCCTGTGTCCATGCTCCCTCTCCATAAAATGCTGAAGGCACCTGTTAGTTTAGTTTAGTTTAGTTTAATATCTTTATTATGCACCTCATACCCATCCTGTGGGTGGCAGTCAAAATATTACAGAGGTGGCTCGTACGTTGGTTTGCGTGCAGCCAGCAGCAACAGCCTGGTTGATCAGGCGCTGATCCACCAGGAGGCCTGGTCACAGACCGGGCCGCGGGGGCATTGACCCCCGAAACTCTCTCCAGGTAAACTCCAGGTACATAATGGGTCCAGGGACTGGACCCCAAAGTTATGATAGCTGAACTAGTTACTAAGGTAATGAACTCCAGGTAGATCTGTTCACAATCATGGCAAGTTACAAAGGTAATGAACCATTTACACCCATATACATGGTTATAATCATGAACAAATTACAAAGTAATGAGTCACTGACACGTCCACACCCGGTTACAATTGTAATGAGTTATAAATACAAATATTAAGGCACCTGATAGGGGCTTCTTGCAGTTTTTAATGAACAGGGAGTTCTATGAGTCTGGGTCTGGGGCAGAGTGCGTGGGCATGTCATTTATTACCTTTTCAAAATCTTGTGGTGTTAGGATAATATCAGAGATTTCTGAGATGACCAAATTTTGGGTCTCATTTATAAAGAATTCATTTGGACTGGGTAACGTCTCGCTAAATACTGAGTCGTATTGGGACTTAAGTGTCTCGCTCATTTCTAGGCTGTCATCTATGTATGTCCCATCTCGCCTAAGCAGGGGCCCAATACTGGATGTTGTTTTTCCCTTAGATTTGGCATAGATTTCAATTTCCTTTATGGCTTTTAGTTCTTCCTGCGATTCTTGTTTCCTGTAAGATTCCTTCAGCTATTTCATTGACCAGTGCCTCCCTTCGTATTTCACATATTTTGACCCCTCTCAGCAGCTCTGTGATTCTTCGTATTCGTCTGTATAGGGAGCGTCTCTCTCTAGTTTACATCTTCTCTTTCCTTTTCTTAATGGAATGTGCCGTGAGCAGATCTCAAGAACCACAGTTTATTTTTTGTAGGCAAAGGTCAGGATCCGTGTTGTTTAGGATGTCTTCCCAGCTTGTTTCATTTAAGACATGGTTGACTTGTTCCTATTGCATGTTTCTGTTATTGAAGTTGAATTTCGTGAAGACACCCTAATGACTGATCACATTTTGCTGGTCAGGAGTCCTGTACTCACCTATTTGTACTCACCTATTTGTGGTTGCAGGGGTCGAGTCACAGCTCCTGGCCCCGCCTCTTCGCTGTATACATGTCTGTACTTCTATTATGTTGTGATCTGAGTGTATTGTCTTTGATACGGTTATATTACGTATCAGATCGTCATTGTTAGTGAAGATGAGGTCCAGCGTATTTTCTAGTCTTGTAGGCTCTAATAGTACTGGTTTAAGGTGAATTTGGTGCAGAAATTTAATAGCAAGTATGAGGTAACCAACACCCAGGTACCTACTTACTGCTAGGTGAAGAGAGACACCAGGTATAAGGTGACTACCTAGGTACCTATTTAGTGCTAGGTGAAGAGGGACAACAGGTGTAAGGTGACTAACACCCAGGTACCTACTTACTGCTAGGTGAAGAGGGACAACAGGTGCAAGGTAACATGTGAGGTGACACAATACGGCTTACTCCGTGGTGGCCCTAAAATACTACTACTACAATAACGAAGATGTTTGGGTAAATAAGCCATATTAATTATGAATGTGGTTTTAAAAGACACTTGATCAAACTCTAGGAATTATCTGTTCGAAAACGTTTCGGTCCCAGAACCTTGATTAGAAGTGACGAAGGTCACACGGCCGAAACCTTTTCTCATAAATTATTATTATTATTATTTCTCATAATGACCTTGAGTTTTCTCACGTCTTTTAAGCAGCGCAGTATAGCCCTTGTGGGTTAGCGCTTCTTTTTGATTATAATAATAATAATCACGTCTTTTAAAACCACTTGTTGATATCAATTACCAAGATTTATACCCAATTTAAGTATACATACCGTATATACTTGTTTTCTGATTAATGTTTCAGATTTTTACAATGATTGCATAAAACACTGAATTACTTAGTGCCACTTAAGGACCACATTACAAAAACAAATCACTTTGACTTTTTTTTTTTGGGGGGGAGGGTTATTCTAGGTAATTTACACATATATTACTAGGAATGATAGTTGTATTTATGTGTACATGTACCTAAATAAGCTTACTTGTGGGAGGTTTCCCCTCAAGGAAGGTTCCTTGATGTTGGTGAGGGGCTCTTGATTTAGGGAATTGGATCTGTGCTCCAGTTCCCCGAATTAAGCCTGAATGCCTTCCACATCCCCCCCCAGGCGCTGTATAATCCTCCGGGTTTAGCGCTTCCCCCTTGATTATAATAATAATAATTGTGGGAGGTTCTTTGACGGCGATGAGTTGCTCTTGATCCAAGGAATTAGACCTGACCTTCCCTTCCCAGAATTGAATCTGTAAATAAGTTTATTTAGGCACATAAGTACAATTATCATACATAGTGTAAATTACCCACGATAACCCTTAAAAGTCAAAGCGACTTACCATTCTTCTAGTTGTATGATCCCATTGGGTTTAGCGCTTCCCACATGAATGTAATAATAATTCTACTATCATGACCCTTCTTTCCTTTCAAGGTGGATTTTAAACTCCAGGTAAACTCCAGGGGCTCTTGATCCAAGGAATTGGACCTATTCTTCCCTTAGGTCAAGCATAACTCTTGTTTCACAGGTGTAAGTTTATTAGGTACAGGTATACATAAGTACAATTATCATACATAATAACATATTTGTATGTTACCTAGGATAACCCAAAAAAGTCAGGAAAATTGATTAATTTCCACTGGGGTCCCTGGTGCTGTATGACCCATTTGCATTTAGCACTTCCCTCTAAATATAATATGTAATGCCAGGAAGCCGAATGGAAGTCAGTGATTGATTTTATTGAATTTTTGTTGGTTAAATCTGTATAATATGCCTTTTAAATACCCATAATATGTGTGCCTTCAAGACCATTGTAAAAAAAATTGTTATATGGTTATCATAAGTCAGATTCCATATAGGTATGTGAAATCAGTGTAAAAGTTTAAAATTATAAATGTGGCCTAAGTAAAAGTTATTATTTAAAGCCTGAATTAAAGCTCACATCTTTGGCTCCAGACAGGCAGGTATGTATGGTAAAAAACTAAGAAGTAAGTTTTTATTCAGGTGTATTTCATACCTAATGTGCATTTTATGTATTTTTTTGAGGGTGCACACATAATGAGCATACATATACAGTACCATACATTATATAGATTTAATCTAGGATATTCTTAAGTAGAGTACAGTACAGTATACCCTTAATTTACTGGAGTTCAGGTTAACAAATTATGTAAACATGGGAGAACATTCACTGGGTTAATTGATTAGGAAATAATTAACAAAGTAAATTGGTTGCAAAATGACTGATGCCCCCAAATACCATCAATCCCCTAAAGACCCCCTTAGACAAAAATAATAACAATAATGATTGTTCAAGACAAGTAACCAAGTCCCCTCTGCCAACCAGATTGCCACTCCTAAGCCCTTCCTGTATAAAAATTCTGGAGTCACACTTGCAGTCATGTAACTATCCAACCTGTCTTTTAAAGCTGGCCAAAATTCCCACTTTAATGATGCTACTTTGCAGTTTCTTCCAGTCATCTCCATTTTTTAATTTATTTCTGATTTTCCTCTTCTCTGTGTTTTTTCCTCTAATACTTGTCTTCTATTCCCACTCTTCTCCCTACCTCTACTCTCATTTTTCTTTCCTCCTTCATTTGTGCCCCTTCCTCCATCTCTGACCTTCATCCTCCATTTTTTCCCCCCACTTCATTCTTCAATCCACATCCCTCATTCCTTTTTTGAAATCCTTCATTACATAAAAGACTAACATTTCTATTTTTATTGACTTTTTACACAGCAGGAAGATACAGCTGGTGAGTATGGTGCAAGGTTTACTGAGCTCCAGGAGCCTGCACCCTAAGCACTTAGCATCAGTGTCGTTGCTGAGGAATTTTCACGTATCTGCTACTGAGCCAGAGACCCAGTTCCATGAAGTAAGGCTATTCAGAATTTTTTGTCCACTTAAATGATTAAATGCACTGAAGTGGAACAATTCACAACTAGCTCACAAATTAGAAATGTAGTACATGTATACATAATATTTTGATCCATACTACAACATTATCAAGTACTGTAGCAAGAAATTTTGTCTAGCTTACATTTCTAATTTGTGGGTTAGCTGCAAATGATTATAACCACTGTGCTGTGCTTTTTCTTCTTTGAAGGAAATGAACACAAGTGTATTTTCTTAGAAAACTGTTGAAAATGTTTTGGTTCTTGGACCATGATCACTTCCAATGAATGGGGAGTATGAGAGGAGTCAGGCTATATATAAGGGCAGAGCATTATTGTAGTGGTATCACTGATAGTAACTGGTAGTAATAGTGGTCAATAAAGGATGCCAAAACTGGGGAGGGATTTGTTTTATGGCTGTATTACATGAATCTCATAGAAGTATGGTATATTATTTGAGCTAAGACATTGTATACCTGGAGAGGGTTTCGGGGGTCATTGCCCCCGGAGGTCATTGCCCGGTCTGAGACCAGGTTTCATGGTGGATCAGGGTCTGATCAAACAGGCTGTTACTGCTGGACGCACACAAACTGACGTAAGAGCCACAGCCCGGCTGGTCGGGTACTGACTTATGTAACTGGATATATAACTGCCAACTTTTTTTAAACAATGGTGCTAGTGGTGATGATGAGTGAATCTTCAAGGCACCATTGTCACTTTAAATCAGGTTTTTCATATTTGTCCCCTCATATCTGCAGATGTTTGCAATCTTACTACATTTCTTATTACATCTAGTTTAATTTGAACAAAAAATATATACCACGAATAACAAAAAAAGGCACTATACGAAGGCAGTCATAGTAACTTGCATTTTGTCATGTATTCAGTACACATATTTATTGTATCATGAAGAATTCTACAGTGTTTTATAAATCTTGTTTAATTTCTTAATTTTAGAAAAGCAGTTGTCCACTGAAACTAATGATGTATTAAACATGTGCATATCTTAATCATTTACAGATAAAAGATGCAAATTCTGGGAAAGTACGAAGAATAGCCTACAAGAAACTTAATGGATCACGTTCTCATGGACTGATTTATGTCCCAGGATTTATGTCAAACATGTCAGGAACAAAATCTGCAGAGCTGCACCTGTTTTGCCAGAAGTATGGTTTTCCATATGTCAGGTAAGATTTTATTTGGCAGAACTATTTTAGTTTTGATTTATCCTACATGACTTGATTTAGCTATACTGTATTATCACATGAAATGGGAGTTTTTTTTTACTATGCCATCTGTTTCCCACCAAGATAGGGGTGAACCTAAAGAAGGAAAATCATTGATTATCATTCAGTCAGTTGCTGTCTTGCAAGAAGTACATGGACATCACTATTCAGATGACTGTATGATGTATAAACTGTTGTGCTAATATATCTACTCTGTTTTAAATACCATTGTAAAGTTCTTTTATTACTTTTCATACTATATATTTATTGTAGAGGAAGGAAGGTAGGGTAGGGCTCATCCTCGAAAAGGTTGGAGGGAGGGGGGTAAAGGAGGTTTTGTGGACGAGGGGCTTGGACTTCCAGCAAGTGTGTATGAGCGTGTTAGATGGGTGTGAAAGGAGACTAATGGTTTTTGGGACCTGACAAGCTGTTGGAGTGTGAGCAGGGTAATATTTTGTGAAGGGATTTGGGGAAACCGGTTAGCCGGACTTGAGACCTGGAAATGGGAAGCTCAATGCCTGCACTTTAGAGGAGGGGTTTGGGATATTGGCAGTTTGGAGGGACTTCTAAACTGTCATATCTGAGCGCCTCTGCAAAGACAGTGATTATGTACGAGTGAGGTGAAAGTGTTGAAAGATGATGAAGGTGTTTTCTTGCTGTTCATGAATTTTTATTTGTTGCAGGTATGATCCCTCAGGATTGGGCAAGAGTGAAGGAGTTAAAATGACAGAAACAACAATGTCTTTATGGCTGGAAGATGCTACAGAAATGCTTCTTAAAATGACAGATGGTGCACAGATTGTAATTGCTTCTTCAATGGGCTGCTGGGTAATTTGTTACAAATGTATAATTTATAAAAGAGGTATAAAGTACAGTGCAACCCCAGATTTTGTCCTTAATCCGTTCCAGAAGGTCAGTCTAAATCTGAAATGGACGAAAACCGAAGTAATATCTCCCATAAGAAATAATGTAAATACAATTAATCCATTCCAGACACCCAAAAATATTAACAAAAAATACATTTTTTAAAGAATAACTGTAGTTTTGCATACAGAAAACAATGAGAAAGAATTATAAATGACTAAAGAAATGGATAAATGAATATTTAACATTACACTTACCTTTATTGAAAACTCTTGTTGGGGTATTGATGGGGAGGAGGAGGAGGAGGAGGAGGAGGAGGAGCAAAGATTATTGTTTGGAAGGGGAATCCCCCTCCATAAGGCCTTCAGGTATCAAAGCCCTATTCAGTGTTACTTCCCTTCTTTGTCTTTTACTGGCACTGGACCCCTGTCGCACTAAAAATCTGTCCAGATCTCTGTTTCTGGTGTGTCTAGGATTTGCCTAAAATGGGACAAGGTACAAATGGAACCCCGAATATCGGCCTTAATTTGTTCCAGAAGGCTGTTCGAGTACCGTTACCAAACGAATTTGTTCCCATAAGGAATAATATAAGTTAGATTAGTCCATTTCAGATCCCCAAAAATCCACTTACAAAATCACTTACAAAAATCCACTTACATAATTGTTTGAGTTAGGAGCTGTTCAAAATTCGGGGTGCTACTGTATTCTCACTGAACATGTTGCAGATATGGCTTGTATCAGCTTAGTCAGGGTAATATTTTTCCACAAAAGATTGCACCTCATTCCACTTTGCACAAATGTCCTTAATCACTGAAGAAGGCACCTCCTCCCCTCTCTCTTCTTCCTCCTCTGAAGCAATTTCCTCAGCTGTGGTCTGATGCTGTTCCAGTTGAAGCTCTTGCAATTCGTCAGTGGTTAGTTCTTCCCTGTGGTCCTCCACCAACTGTAGGGTGAGAGGTAAAAAGTATTTATTTGTAGAAAGTCGTGTGGAAGGTATGGCATTCTGCCTGGCCACTCCCACCTACTACAACATTAAGCTCCCTAGAGCGATAAAATGCATATATAGTACACTCATTAATTACCTTAAAATATTTGTAGTCTTAATGTAGGGTGAGAGGTGAGTTTTATTTGTATAAAGTCAAGTTGGGAAGTATGGGTAGCCAGGAAGGGCAGCCCTCACCACCCCACCCACACATAATGCAAACAAACCAGACGAACGTGTTTGGTTTTCGTCACTTTACGTTGTGTACAAGTTGTCTCCAGCTTAATACAGTAGAATAAATAAAGAGAAACACTCCCATTCTCATTTAACACCATTTTTAGAAGAAATGATACCCTGAGTGAAGGCATATGAAAGGAATAATTTTCTAGTTATCCCCAGTAATATTATAGTGACACATTTTCTCTGATGTTGGACTACAAGTTGCCTGGCTACCATAAGTCCTACAAGTTGCCTGGCTACCACAAGTCCTACAAGTTGCCTGGCTCCCACAAGTCCTACAAGTTGCCTGGCTACCACAAGTCCTACAAGTTGCCTGTCTACCACAAGTCCTATAAGTTGCCTGGCTACCACATGTCCTACAAGTTGCCTGACTACCACAAGTTCTGCAAGTTGCCTAGCTACCACAAGTCCTGCAAGTTGTCTGGCTACCACAAGTCCTACAAGTTGCCTGACTACCACAAGTCCTACAAGTTGCCTGACTACCACAAGTCCTACAAGTTGCCTGACTACCACAAGTCCTACAAGTTGCCTGGCTCCCACAAGTCCTACAAGTTGCCTGGCTACCACAAGTCCTACAAGTTGCCTGTCTACCGCAAGTCCTATAAGTTGCCTGGCTACCACATGTCCTACAAGTTGCCTGACTACCACAAGTTGCCTGGCTACCACAAGTTGCCTGGCTACCACAAGTCGCCTGGCTACCACAAGTCGCCTGGCTACCACAAGTCACCTGACTACCACATCTCATATTTATGTTAATTTATTCTACTGTGGGGTGTATTTAGATGGTTTAAGCAAAATGTCTATATTAACGTTTTATATGATATTTAATGCTCCTTAGTGATTATTATTGTGTTATTATTATTTTTTTTTTTTCAACAAGTCGGCCGTCTCCCACCAAGGCAGGGTGACCCAAAAAAGAAAGAAAATCCCCAAAAAGAAAATGCTTTCATCATCATTCAACACTTTCACCACACTCACACATAATCACTGTTTTTGCAGAGGTGCTCAGAATACAACAGTTTAGAAGCATATATGTATAAAAATACACAACATATCCCTCCAAACTGCCAATATCCCAAACCCCTCCTTTAAAGTGCAGGCATTGTACTTCCCATTTCCAGGACTCAAGTCCGACTATATGAAAATAACCGGTTTCCCTGAATCCCTTCACTAAATATTACCCTGCTCACACTCCAACAGATCGTCAGGTCCAAAGTACCATTCGTCTCCATTCACTCCTATCTAACACGCTCATGCACGCTTGCTGGAAGTCCAAGCCCCTTGCCCACAAAACCTCCATTACCCCCTCTCTCCAACCCTTTCGAGGACGACCCCTACCTCGCCTTCCTTCCCCTATAGATTTATATGCTTTCCATGTCATTCTACTTTGATCCATTCTCTCTAAATGACCAAACCACCTCAACAACCCCTCTTCTGCCCTCTGACTAATACTTTTATTAACTCCACACCTTTTCCTAATTTCCACACTCCGAATTTTCTGCATAATATTTACACCACACATTGCCCTTAGACAGGACATCTGCACTGCCTCCAACCTTCTCCTCGCTGCTGCATTTACCACCCAAGCTTCACACCCATATAAGAGTGTTGGTACTACTATACTTTCATACATTCCCTTCTTTGCCTCCCTAGATAACATTTTTTGACTCCACATATACCTCAATGCACCACTCACCTTTTTTCCCTCATCAATTCTATGATTAATTATTATTATCATTATTAATATGGCATCTTTAAGACTAATAAGACACTCTTAGTGATTTTAATGTGTACCTGCATGCTAGCACAATGTGTAAGTTTACTTAGGTACAGGTACACATACGTATAATTATGAGTTATAATAATAATGTAGGTATGTAGTCCACCTGGGCTACATACCTACACCTACCTACATAGCTACACAATATTTAATGTGGCCCAGAGACATATTATTGACATCGACATACCATGTTCACTGAGTTTAATTGTTTCTAATAACTACCTTTAGATGCCATCATAAACAAAGGGAGAAGTAATGAATAATTCAAGCCGAGAATTGTAAACAAAAGCATTATGTATTAACGAGAGTGAAGTAATGTTTTCCCTCCACCCGGCTACCACACCTCCATAGTATATAAACATAAAATGTTTATATGTTATGTAATGTGTTTCTTATATAATTTTGAAGAAAATATAATAGATGGATTAGTGGGAATGTTTATATTAACGTAAAATAAGACACCATATATATTAGTATTATGTAATGTTGTCCCTCCACCCGGCAACCACACCTCCATAGCACATAAACAGCATGTTTATACACTATGTAACGTGTTTCTTATATAATTTTGAAGAAAATATCATATATGGATTAATGAAAATGTCTATATTGACGTAAAATTAGACATTTAATGTGCCCAAGAGTGATTATATTACATAATAGAGAGATGTGCTCATGGAGAATGTAAACAAACCGGGTGGCGCACGCCGTATTTGAAAGACCACTTGCCGTATAGATAGTTTTGGTCATAATTGGAGATTGCCGTATTAGCGGAACACCGTAAAGCGAAACGACGAAAAGTGGGGCCCTACTATACGTATTATAATAATAGTATTATAATACGTATTAATAATAATGAGTGAGCTTCAGTTCCCTAAATTAATTATAATAATAATAATAATAATAATACATACATACATACATAATAATAATTCAGAATGCTGCCACTAGTTGGCGCAGCCAATGGCAAAACATCTGGTAAGGAGTCGACATGTTTACATCACTGTGGGAGCATTTCTCTCGTGCTTGCTTGCATTTTTTTAGTCATTTGGCCAAATTTCTTTTTTCTAACTATGGGTGCTAAGAAAATAAGTGCAAAGGACAGTGCTGAGAAGAAAAAGAGGATGATTTCCATGGAATTAAAGCAAATTGTATCAGTTAAGCTCGCAATCAAACAAAACAAATTGTATCATCACTCATCATATTATGGCCTATTTTATTCATTCTAGAGTATATATCATGTTTCTCTGTTAATTATATTGTTTATTATGTCATATTAGATGAATTGTGATAGATAAATAGGGCGCAGAATTGTTATAATGAAATATTTTGTCCTGCTGCTGGGACAGATTAATGGCATTTCAGTTAATTTAAACAAGGAAAATTGATTTGATATACGAGCAAATTGAGTTATGGGCTAGGTCACAGAACGGATTAAACTCGTAAGTCAAGGTTACACTGTACTGTATTATATTTTTCCCAAAGCTCTATAAATTCATGAATGTCCACAAAATTGCAATTCATAAGGAACCATTTAGTGTCCTGTATTTAATTCATTTAATTTAAACACTTTAATATTTTTTTATTCAAAAAATTAATTATGAAACTTAATTTTTTTTTTTATTAAAAAATTATGAAACTGACCTTACAAGAATGTTGTGAGGTCATTATGTTATGTGGATGTGAAAGATAGTCACAAATGAGTTGCAGAGGAATTTAGTACTTTAATAATCATTCAGGAAAATCAATAAACTATGGTAGCCCTCAGTAGCGAGACTTTTCAAGAAAGTCCAGGCAACAGGATCTATCACTGATGAACCTTGTGCAGGTCATCCTTTGCACTGCAGATGCCTTTCAAGAAGAGATCATTGGCAGACAATGAATTCAACATGAAATCAGCTCCATCAGCCCGGATGTATTGGGAGCAAGAAAAAACTTGCTTTTTTCATTATGTGCCATGTTTTGAGATTGGCAGGAAGCATTTCATACAGCTGATGTAGCTATCTTTACTAATAAATGTTTTTCTCATATGTAACTTTGTGGACAGGTACGTATTATGCATGAAAAAATGAAAAAGAAATTCGCAGTACAGTGGAACTTCTACTTGCGAGTGCATCCATGTGCGAGTTTTTCCAAATACGAGCAGTCGATGGGCCGATTTTTTGTTTCCATATGCGAGAAAAATTTCCATAAGCGGGAAGACCTCAAGGCAGGTTCCTTGACACTGGTGAGGGACTCTTGCTCTTGATCTAGGGAATTGTATCTCATTTGTTTGTTGGACAATCTTATTGAAACTTGGGCAATGTATGATGGAAAGATGCGTCTTAACGTACACCAAAAATTAAAGAACCCTAAGCATAAATAATGGAGTTCACTTCTCAGCAATTAGTCACCCCTTAGCAGTATTTTTGTATGGTTTTTATGATTGTATTCTCGTTTTTTGGTCTCATTTGATAGAATGGAAGATCTTTCTTCTTCTTTCAACACACCAGCCGTATCCCACCGAGGCAGGGTGGCCCAAAAGGAAAAACAAAAGTTTCTCCTTTTACATTTAGTAATATATATATAGGAGAAGGGGTTACTAGTCCCTTGCTCCCGGCATTTTAGTCGCCTCTTACAACACGCATGGCTTACGGAGGAAGAATTCTGTTCCACTAGAATGGAAGATATATTACAGAAATAGATATGATTTTGATAGCTTTCACGATGAAAAGTACGTACCTTGAAATTGAGCTCAACACAGGAGAAATGTTCAATTGTTTTGGCTATGTTAGAAAGTAAACAAATGACTTCACTGTCCATTCCAGTATGCAGTTGTGAATGGGTTGACATTATTTATACTATTATTGCAATAAGGCATAACAGTAAATCTTATATTTTTTGTGTGAATAAAAATAAATTTTTTTTATATTGTAATAATAATATGTATAATAATACGTATAATAATAATAGTACAGTGGACCCCCGGCATACGATATTAATCCGTTCCTGAGAGCTCATTGTATGCCGAAATTCTCGTAAGGCGAATTAATTTTCCCCATAAGAAATAATGGAAATCAAATTAATCCGTGCAAGACACCCAAAAGTATGAAAAAAAAAAGTTTTACCGCATGAAATATTAAGTTTAATGCACACAAACTGAAGAAGACATGCACAGTAGTAGTACTCTACTAACAATAGAATACATGACACTTACCTTTAATGAAGATCTGGTGATGATTGATGGGATGGGAGGAGGGGAGAGTGTCGAACTTATTGTTTAGAAGGGGAATCCCCTTCCATTAGGACTTGAGGTATCAAGTCCTTTTCCGGGGTTACTTCCCTTCTTCTTTTATTGCCACTAGGACCAGCTTGAGAGTCAGTGGACTTCTGCCACACAACATATCTGTCCATAGAGGCCTGTACCTCTCGTTCCTTTATGATTTGTCTAAAGTGGTTCACAACATTGTCATTGTAATAGTCACCAGCACGGCTTGCAATAGCTGTGTGAGGGTGATTTTCATCCATAAAGGTTTGCACCTCAAGCCACTTTGCACACATTTCCTTAATCTCTTTTTTCAATTCCATACTAATTCTCACCCTTTTTACCACAGGGATGGCACTAGAAGCTTTCTTGGGGTCCATGGTGACTTATTTTGTAGTTGCAAGCACTAAAAACACTGGGATAATGTGAAATGTACCGAATGTATGCGTAGATGTGACCGCACTGGCTGGCTTGTGAACACTGGCGCTGAAGCCAAACGTGGGACGTGTCTCGGACGAATCGCGTGAGGTGAGGCAAAATTTTTGCATTAAAATGTATCGTATGCCGGATTTAACGTATGCCGATGCCATCGTATGCTGGGGGTCCACTGTACGTATAATAATATAATACAATAATAATAATATAATACATATAATATAATAAAACTGAAGCCTGTAATTGTTTTACACGATGGTAGGATTGCTGGTGTCTTTTTTTTTTTCTGTCTCATATACATGCAAGATTTCAGGTACATCTTGCTACTTCTACTTACACTTAGGTCACACTACACATACATGTACAAGCATATATATACACACCCCTTTGGGTTTTCTTCTATTTTCTTTCTAGTTCTTGTTCTTGTTTATTTCCTCTTACCTCCATGGGGAATTGGAACAGAATTCTTCCTCCGTAAGCCATGCATGTTGTAAGAGGTGACTAAAATGCCGGGAGCAAGGGGCTAGTAACCCCTTCTCCTGTATATATTACTAAATGTAAAAGGAGAAACTTTAGTTTTTCCTTTGGGGCCACCCCGCCTCGGTGGGATACAGCCGGTGTGTTGAAAGAAAGAAAGATATAATAATAATACATATAAAATAATAATGTACTACATAATAATAATTATAATAATAGACGGCTTCAAAAGGCCGTCACTAAATGGTAGTGTTTACCACAACATAGAGGGAGCGGTTGTAGCCACCTCCACCTGTTACATAATGGCATATTTTATTCACTCTAGAGTACATATCAGGTTTCTATGTTATTTATATTGTTGATTATTTCATATTAGATGAACTTTGATAGATAAATAAGCCATAGAGTTGATGATAGCGAAATATTCAAGGGGTATTTTGTCCTGTCTCCAGACAAACTCTCATCAGCCGCCGCCACATATATAATGACATACACCTACCATCCGACTTACGACTGAGTTTGGTTCCGAGAAACCGGTCGTAAGTTGAAATGGTTGTAAGTCGAACTTTACTACTGAATATCAACAAAACATTTTTGTAACGACTTTATTTTATTGTTTTATTTTGGTATTTCATGTTTTACTTTACTTTTTATGTTGTTAGTACTGTATTTTATACTGTAAAGTTTAGGATAAACACTGTGTACAACACAAATAGTTGTTTATTTCCCAGAAATTTGGCATAAAAAACACGGTCGTAAGTCGAGTGGTCGTAAGTCGAGCAGGTCCTAAGTCGGATGGTAGTTGTATTTTATTCATTCTAGAGTATATATCAGGTTTCTATGTTATTTACATTGTTTGTTATGTCATATTAGATGGGCTGTGATAGATAAATAAGCCATATAGATGATATTAGCAAAATTATTCAAGAAGTATTTTGTCATGTCTCCAGACAAACACTTGTCGGCCGCCGCCACATATTTAATGACATATTTTATTCATTCTAGAGTATATATCAGGTTTCTATATTATTTATATTGTTTATTATGTCATATTAGATGAACTGTGATAGATAAATAAGTCGTATAGATGATATTAGCGAAATTATTCAAAAAGTATTTTGTCATGTCTCCAGACAAACACTCGTCGGCCGCCGACACTGCCCATACCACTACATGAATTGCATATTTTATTAATTTTAGAGTATATATATCAGGTTTCTATGTTATTTATATTGCTCATTATGTCATAATAGATGAAGTGAGATAGATAAATAAGCCATAGAGTTGATATTAGCAAAATTATTGAAGCACAGAATTCCACTGGAATGGATTAATTGCATTTCAATTAATTTAAATGAGGAAAATTGACTCTGCAAACGAGCAAATCCAGTTGCGAGCAAGGTCATGGAACGGATTAAACTCGCAAATAGAGGTTCCACTGTATTTAGTTGAAATGATAAGAAAAAGAAATCAGTGGATTAACATGAAGTGGGGGTACAGCTGCATGGGAAAATTGTTAACTGTACATGTACATGTTATTATATCAAAATAGATAGATCATTTCAGTGAGCAAGAATATAGGCAAGGAGAATAAAACAGGATTTAAAAAAAAAATGGATGCAGTTATGTTCATTTGTATATGCTATTTACCTATACATGTATACAGTATATACCTTAGCATTTTTCAGATTTGGGTAAGTGGTGAAAAAAGATGCATGAACCTTCACAGAATAATATAGTACAAAATATATATATCTTTAACTTGAGTGTAGTTGAAGTATTCTTTATTTTATGCAGTTCAAAGTTTTTTATTCATGAATCATGTTTGGTTTTTCTTTGCAGATATCATCCTTAATAGCACAAAAGCATCCAGAAAAATTTGCAGCTATTCTTATGTTAGGTCCTGCCATTAACTTTGGTGAAAGATATGAAAACGTTCTTCGAGGACAACTGCCACCAAAGGTTTTAAAGAAATTTGAAGCTGGTGAAATTGTCAGCCTTCATGCTCCTGATTATGGTGACTTCCCATTGTCCATGAAAGTATTTGAAGACATGAAGCAGTATAACGTAACACTGGAAGCAGACAACATTACTATGCCTTGTCCGGTCAGGATTATCCATGGTGTCAAGGTTTGTGTTTTGGATAGCATAATTTTTTTTTTAACACATTGGCCTTTTCCCACCAAGGCAGGGTGGCCCGAAAAAGAAAAACTTTCATCATTATTCACTCCATCACAATCTTGCCAGAGGCATACTTACACTACAGTTATAAAACTGCAACATTAGCACCCCTCCTTCAGAGTGCCAGCACTGTACTTCCCATCTCCAGGAATCAAGTCCGGCCTGCTGGTTTCCCTGAATCCCTTCATAAATGTTACCTTGCTTACACTCTGACAGCACGTCAAGTCCTAAAAACCATTTGTCTCCATTTGCTCCAATCTAAGAGGCTCATATGTGCTTGCTGGAAGTTCAAGCCCCTCACACACAAAACCTTTTTTACCCCCTCCTTCCAACCTTTCCTAGGCCTAGCCCTACCCCACCTTCTCTCCACTACAAATTTATACACTCTCAAAGTCATTCTATTTTGTTCCTTCCTCTCTATATGTCCAAACCATCTCAATAATCCCTCCTCAGCCCTCTGGATAATGGTTTTGGTAGTCCCGCACCTCCTCCTAATCACCAAACTACAGATTCTCTGCATTATATTCACACCACACATTGCCCTCAGACATGACATCTCCACTGCCTCCAGCCTTCTTGTTGCAACATTCACCACCCATGCCTCATACCCATACAAGAGTATTGGTATAACTGTACTCTCATACATTACCCTCTTTGCTTTCATGGATAAAGTTCTTTGTCTCCACAGACTCCTCAGTGCACCACTCACCTTTTTCCCCTTCTCAATTCTGCGATTCATGTCATCTTTCATAGACCCATCTGCTGACACGTCCACCCCCAAATATCTGAATACGTTCTTAATTATATAATTAAGAAAGCAAGATTAACTTTGGATACATTGTGCAGCATACTGGGTAATGGTAATTTCCAAGTCACTTTTAACAGAAAACCTTTATTATTTGACATTTTATCTATAATAGGGCATTATCAGGTATTTGATACCTGGTACTTGATAAAGCCATAATGTGGGCAAAACATCATATTGTAAATGTTTCCCCACTTAGGTTCTCTGTTGTCTTCTTGCTTTGTTAATGTTTAATTGTATATAAGTTATTGTTTTATATAGGCAGTGGATAATATGTTATGCCTGATATAAAATTAAAAAATTGTATTGCCTCATTCTAAATATGTTATTTTTTAGCAAAACATCCCAGTGTTTCACAAGGCTATTAAATTGTCAGTTTAACCTCAGATGATTACAGATTAGTAGTCAACAGAGTTGAGTAATAAGTATGCAAAAATGTGGTCTTTCAGAACACTGTCGGTTGGGATTTATGGTTCTGTTTACTTTATAACATCCATCCACTTGAACTACTGTATTAACAATGTCAGTGACCACCTACTTTTTTTGTGATTACAGCCAATTCCTTAAAAATATTAGAAGATCTGGAAACACTCAAAATGTTAGGGAGAAAGCAGTTTTAACAAGATAGTCTGTCAGTGTTTTTAGTGCAGTATTATCTGTAATGCAGATACGAACATTATAAGAATAAGTACTGTATATTTGTCATATTTTTTTGGTGCATCTCGCTAAATAACTGAAGGTAGAAGATATAACAGTGCCAACAATATGGATGAAGAACAATATGGATGAAGGACATCCAAAAAGTATGTCCTAAGTACACTTGTGTCCTTTCATTTATCAGACATCCTTTAAATTTAATGACAACATTACCAATCATTCTAGGTAGTAGGTTGGTAAACAGCAACTGCCCAAGGAGGTACTACCGTCCTGCCAAGTGAGTGTACAACGAAAACCTGTAATTGTTTTACATGATGGTAGGATTGCTGGTGTCTTTTGTCTGTCTCATAAACATGCAAGATTTCAGGTATGTCTTGCTACTTCTACTCTACACATACATGTACAAGCATATATATACACACACACACCCCTCTGGGTTTTCTTCTATTTTCTTTCTAGTTCTTGTTCTTGTTTATTTCCTCTTACCTCCATGGGGAAGTAGAACAGAATTCTTCCTCCGTAAGCCATGCGTGTTGTAAGAGGCTAGTAACCCCTTCTCCTGTATATATTACTAAATTTAAAAAGTTTTTTTTCTTTTGGGCCACCCCACCTCAGTGGGATACGGCTGGTACATTGAAAGAAGAATTACCAATCATTTGATGAGAAGTCATCTGTCCTCCAGATGCAGTCTTGTAGACTATACAGTTAAGCTTGTTGTTTCTCTAAGAATGATTTTTTTTTTAGTTGGCTTGTGACCATTGACTCATTGTAATACTTGACCTGTAGTTGAAATGGAAATCTCAGTTACTGTTTGCTGCCAATCAACTGTTGAATGAACTGATAGCTGTCATTCAGTCTTGGATTGTTCTAATCTTTTGGATATTTTCCTACTTGTTTTTAATTAAATCACATATTTACCATTACAAGGAACCAGTGTTCTGGTATTGTGAAAGTTACGCTTCTTGATAATATGTTTAACTCAGAACTGAGTTAGATATCTTTCTTTCAACACACTGGCCGTATCCCACCGAGGCGGGGTGGCCCAAAAGGAAAAACGAAAGTTTCTCCTTTTACATTTAGTAATATATACAGGAGAAGAGGTTACTAGCCCCTTACTCCCGGCATTTTAGTCGCCTCTTACAACACGCATGGTTTACGGAGGAAGAATTCTGTTCCACTTCCCCATGGAGATAAGAGGAAATAAACAAGAATAAGAACTAGAAAGAAAATACAGTGGACCCCTGGTCTGCGATGGCATCGGTATCCGATAAATCCGGTATTCGATACATTTTAACGCAAAAATTTTGCCTCGGTTCCCGTTAAAAAACCCGCCATACGCGATTCGTCTGAGACGTGTCCACGTGTGGCCTGAACTGCCCCTTGTGTGCCAGTATTTACAAGCCAGCCAGTGTGCTCGCATCTAAGGATACGTTCAGTACATTCCATATTATCAGTGTTTTTGGTGCTTGTTTCTGCAAAATAAGTCACCATGGGCCCCAAGAAAGCTTCTAGTGCCAACCCTTCGAGAAAAAGGGTGCTAATGACTATTGAAATGAAGAAAGAGATAATTGTAAAGTACGAAAGTGGAGTGCGTGTGTCGGAGCTGGCCAGGTTGTATACAAAACCCCAATCAACCATCACTGCTATAGTGACCAGGAAAACGGCAATCAAGGAAGCTGTTGTTGCAAAAGGTGCAACTGTGATTACGAAACAGTGACCGCAAGTGTTAGAAGATGTTGAGAGACTGTTATTGGTGTGGATAAATGAAAAACAGATAGCAGGAGATAGCATCTCTCAAGCAATCATTTGTGAAAAGGCTAGGCAGTTGCATGACGATTTGGTAAAGAAATTGCCTGCAACTAGTGGTGATGCGAGTGAATTTAAGGCCAGCAAAGGTTGGTTTGAAAGATTTAAGAATCTTAGTGCCATACATAGTGTGATTAGGCATGGTGAGGCTGCCAGTTCAGACCAAAAAGCAGCTGAAAAATATGTGAAGGAATTCAAGGATTACATAGACAGTGAAGACTTGAAACCTGAACAAGTGTTTAATTGCGACGAAACAGGCCTGTTTTGGAAGAAATTGCCAAGCAGGACCTACATTACTCAGGAGGAAAAGGCACTCCCAGGACATAAGCCTATGAAAGACAGGCTTACTCTTCTGATGTGTGCCAATGCTAGTGGTGATTGCAAAGTGAAGCCTTTATTGGTGTATCACTCAGAAACTCCCAGAGCATTCAGGCAAAACAATGTCCTCAAGGATAATTTGTGTGTGCTGTGGAGGGCAAACAGTAAGGCATGGGTCACTAGGGACTTTTTTTATGACTGGTTACACCATGCATTTGCCCCCAATGTGAAAAATTACCAATTGAAAAGAAATTAGACGTTAAGTGCCTCCTGGTATTAGACAATGCCCCTGGTCATCCTACAGACTTGGCAGAGCGACTTTCTGGGCACATGAGCTTCATTAAGGTCAAGTTTTTGCCTCCTAATACCACTCCTCTCCTCTCTTGCAGCCCATGGACCAGCAGGTCATTTCCAACTTCAAGAAACTGTACACAAAAGCTGTGTTTCAAAAGTGCTTTGAAGTGACCACAGACACTCGATTGACTCTAAAAGAGTTTTGGAAGGATCACTTTAATATTCTCAATTGTGTAAACCTTATAGGTAAGGCTTGGGAGGGAGTGACTAAGAGGACCTTGAACTCTGCTTGGAAAAAACTGTGGCCAGAATGTGTAGACAAAAGGGATTTTGAAGGGTTTGAGGCTAACCCTGGGAATCCTATGCCAGTTGAGGAATCCATTGTGGCATTGGGGAAGTCCTTGGGGTTGGAGGTTAGTGGGGAGGATGTGGAAGAGTTGGTGGAGGAGGACAATGACGAACTAACCACTGATGAGCTGCTAGATCATCTTCAACAGCAAGAGGTCAGACCTGAGGAAACTGCTTCGGAGGAGGGGATAGAGAAATTAAAGAAGTTGCCTACTTCAAAGATTAAGGAAATGTGTGCAAAGTGGCTTGAAGTGCAAACCTTTTTTGACGAAAATCACCCTGACACAGCTGCTGCAAGCCGTGTTGGCAACCTGTATAATGACAATGTTGTGAACCACTTTAGGAAAGTCATAAAGGAACAAGAGGTACAGGCCTCTATGGACAGATATGTTGTGCGACAGAAGTCCAGTGACTCTCAAGCTGGTCCTAGTGGCATTAAAAGAAGAAGGGAAGTAACCCCGGAAAAGGACTTGCTACCTCAAGTCCTAATGGAAGGGGATTCCCCTTCTAAACAATAAGTTTGACACTCTCCCCTCCTCCCATCCGATCAATCATCACCAGATCTTCATTAAAGGTAAGTGTCATGTATTCTGTTGTTAGTAGAGTACTACTTACTGTGCATGTCTTCTTCAGTTTGTGTGCATTAAACTTAATATTTCATGTGGTAAAATTTTTTTTTCATACTTTTGGGTGTTTTGCACGGATTAATTTGATTTTCATTATTCTTATGGGGAAAGTTGATTCGCTTTTTGATAATTTTGGTTTACGATGAGCTCTCAGGAACGGATTAATATCGCAGACCGGGGGTCCACTGTAGAAGAAAACCCAGAGGGGTGTGTATATATATGCTTGTACATGCATGTGTAGTGTGACCTAAGTGTAAGTAGTACTGTAGTAGCAAGACATACCTGAAATCTTGCATGTTCATGAGACAGAAAAAAGGACACCAGCAATCCTACCATCATGTAAACAATTACAGGCTTTCGTTTTACACTCACTTGGCAGGACGGTAGTACCTCCCTGGGCGGTTGCTGTCTACCAACCTACTACCTAGGACTGAGTTAGATATATTCTCATAAAACTACATAATGTTGCCCATGTGTCTCATTTACATAAAAATTAGTTTTTATATTTTACTTAGAAATTAATTTATATATTTTTTTTATTATTTTGGACATAAACCTATAATTCCTATCAGGAACTGAAGGGAAGTAGTATGAATAATTAGCAATAATTTCAGTTTTAGTGGATATTGTTGAATATTTTAGTGACACACGGAATTTTCATGATTACTATACAAAACTTTTTAATATTGCATTCCACCTAATACCCTTACTATTCTCCAAACTCCTTAGAGATAAACAGTTACCAGTAAACATCTTACTTATCCACATTTACTAAGGAAAATTTTGTTTCTTTGCAGGATAAAGATGTTCCACACATGGAATCCCTTCAGCTTCTTAAAGCTCTGCAGATCACCGATGTACAGTTGAATTACCTCAAGCATGCTGGCCATACACTCAGTGATGCTGCTAGCTTAGAGGTTATGTTTGATACTATACTCAACTTAGCATCCTATGTTAACAAAAAGGAAAGCCATTCTTGAGAGTTTTAAAATATATAAAGATAGTGTAAATTAAGTTTTCAAACACAAGATGTATTTAAATGCAGGATATAAAAAAAACATAAACTAATAATAATTTAATTTAAATATAATGAGCTGAGTTGGAACAGCTGCAGTTACAGGTGAATACAGTTAGTAAAATAATAATTATAACATTTTATCGACTTTTTAATAATTTAACGCAGAAGGGGTTACTAGCCCCATGGTATCAGCATTTTAATTGCCTTTTACAACACGCATGGCTTACAGAGGAAGAATTCTATAGCCCACTATCTCTATGGTATTTAATCCTTCAACTGTCCAAACGTAGTTCTACGTTTTTGCTCGTAACGCTCCGACCTTGATTTTCTCCATAAGAAAGCATGTTAAAAAAAACGTAGATCTATGTTTGGAGCGCTACGCGAGAGAACATAGTTCTACGTTTGGACAGTTTAAGGGTTAAAAAAAGGAAGGGGGGGAGAGGGCAATGCCTGCACTCTGAATGAGGGGTAAGGAAGTTCCAGTTGGATGGGTCATATGATTGTGTCACTATGCTTATGGAAAGACAGCAGTTGAGTGAATGTATTTTCTTCTTTGGGTCACCTGGCTTGATGGGAGATAGCCATTAAGTTAAAAAAATAATAATAATTTTTTTAAAGAAATATACTACATAATTTTATAACACTGGATGTCTCCCATTAAGGTAGGGTGACCTGAAAAAGATACACTGTCACCATCCTTCATGCTATCACTGCTTGAGGGCATGTAGATATGACAGTTCAGATGCCCCTCCAAAGAGCAAATATTCCCACCCCTCCTTTAGACAGCAGGCACTGTACTTCCCATCTCCAGGACTCAAATCCAGCTAACTAGTTTCCTTGAATCCCTTCACAAAATGTTACCTTGCTCACACTCCAACAGCTCATTAGGTCCCAAAAACCATTTGCCTCCACTCCTATCTAACATGTCACACGTATCTGAATATCCAAGCCCCTTGCACACTAAACCTGCTTTTACCCCTTCCATCCATCCTTTCCTAGGATGACCCCTACCCTACCTTCCCTCCACTACAGATTTATACACCCTTCAAGTCATCCTATTTTGCTCCATTCTTTCTAAATGACAACAACCACCACTGAGGGAGGTACTTCTGTCCTGCCAAGTGAGTGTGAAATAGAAACCTTTAGTTGTTTTACATGATTGTAGGGTTACTGGTGTCTTTTTATAGCCTGTAAATGAGGGTGTGTACATGCGCCGAATAAAGGTTACGTACTCTTTGCATGCCACACCCCCACCCCGAGAAGGCTCAGGATTAGGCTGCCACCTCCCAGTGGTAACCGTGCCGCCATGGCACAAAATAATGGGACCGCCTTTCCTCTCCACCATCCAACTCTTAGATAGAGCTCAGCTTTTCTTGTGACCAAAAGCCAAACCCTAAACTTAGAGTGAGACAGTAGTCAGACAGGCTAGCATAGGTCCAAGATACAGGCGGACGGTAGCCCGCATCCCCTCACTAAAAAAAAACCCCACACCAGGGGATAAAAAAAAGAGCATGAAAAGGGGTTACCACAAATAACATCCTAACCTAAATAAAATATTATACTCTAGATAAAGAGTCTGCCAACATATTTTCTTTGCCGGTAATATATTTAATGGACAGATTATATGGTTGCAGCCTTAGCGTCCAGCGCATAAGCCTTGTGTTGTGGTTCTTCATGGCTTGGAGATATACTAGAGGATTGTGATCACTGTAGACTGTGACCACCTGCGATGTCTGGCCCACATAAACATCGAAATGCTCCAAAGCCAGTACCAGCGCGAGGGCTTCTTTTTCAATGGTAGAGTAAGCCCTCTGATGTGGCTGGAACTTGGCTGAAAGTATGCTACAGCTCAACTCGTTGTTCCCGATTTTGTAATAGTACTGCCCCAACCCCAGACTCACAAGCATCAACCTGTAATGAAAAAGGTTTGGAAAAGTCTGGAGACAAGAGAATGGGGGGCAGTACACAATAGTCTTTTTTGCTTTATTAAAAGCAGTGTTACATTCTGAGGTCCAATTAAAGGGAACTTTTTGAACTGGTAAAGAGGAAAGGGAGGGGAACAATATCTGAGAAATTCTTACAAAAACTTCTGTAAAATCCTATCATGCCTAGAAACGTTGAAGAGATTTCCCTATCATGAGGAACTGGATAATCTTTAATAGAAAGAACTTAGCAAGTTTAGGTGCAACTTTACCACTACCTACTTCATGGCCTAGAAAAGTGACAGTGGCCTGGCCAAAGGAAGATTTAGAAAAATTTAAAACTGTTAAAGGGGAACTCTTAAAGGTCTCAAACAGAGCCTTAAGTCTAAGTAGGTGTTGATCCCAAGTACAGACAACCAAACAATATCATCTAGGTACGCTGCCGTGCCTTTCAAGTCCTTTAATAGCCTGATGGATAAGTTTCTGGAATGAAGAGGGGGAATTTTTCATTCCGAAGGGTGTAACTGTGTATTGATAATGTCCTCCTGGAATTACAAAGGGCAGAGTTTTTCCTTCGCCTTATCTGTCAAAGGTACCTGATAGTAGCCTTTAAGGAGATCTAATTTGGACACAAAAGTAGCCTTACCCACAAAGTCAATTACGTCATCCAGATGAGGAAGAGGGTAAGCATCTGTAATTGTGACCCTCGTTCACCTTACGGTAGGGGTCGTACACATACAAAAACCCTCCATCAGCCTTCTTCACAAGGATGCACGGTGAAGCCCATGGACTAGACGACTCCTCCACAAACCATGCTTTAACAAAAATTCTACTTCCTGCTGAAGTAGCCTTGCTTTTCAGATTAGCTCTGTAGGGGAGAGTTTAAATTGGGTTTTAGAGTTTCCCACATCTACATCATGGTAACCTAACGTACATTTTTTCGGCACATCCGAAAAAAATATTAGGATATGACTGTAGAAGCTCAGTTAAAATTTTGGGTTTGCTTGTGTTTCAGATAATCTCTCCATTAAAGGGCTAGGATCCTTGAGGGGGACAGAATTTGAAAGTTTAATATTAATTTCAGAGATAGAGGGGCAAAGAGTCAGATTTTTGTCCTCAGAGGTAGAGGACGAGTCATTACTGGGACTTTATCTGGTGTATGGAATTACTTTAACTGATTAATGTGGTAAGTTTTAGTTTTTGAGGTCTTATCAATGGGAGCTACCACATAATTTACATCAGATAATCTATTTTACAATCTGCATAGGTCCCGTAAATCTAGCTTTCAAGGTGTGGCCAGGTATAGTTCCTGCCCAACACCTTGTCCTCCTGGAGGGAAAGGGAAAGCGGATTGTGCAATTCTGTCAAAACCTCTGTTTCATCTTGCTTTGAGCTGTCTTTAGGTTAGCCTTGGCTAACTGACGTGCCACCTGCAACCTTGAAGAAGATTGTAGAGTGTGAACTAACGTCTTCTCCCATCCATCCTTCTTTGAGCACCCGAAGAGGACCTCATACATTGTGCCCAAAGATCAGCTAAAAAGGGACTATACCCTGTAGACTCTTGCAACCGTTCTCGTACTGAGAACAGCAACAAAGGTAGTGATTCATCCCCGTTTGTAGGGAAGTGCAGCAAAAACTTCTCATCATTGTTTTTAATGTCTGGTGGAATCTTTCCAAGGCGCCTTGGGACTGAGGATGATGGGCAGTGGATAAGTTGGGGAAATATCCCTAACCTAGTTAATACTTCCCTAAATGCTTTGGCAGTGAAGTTAGTACCTTGATCATTTTAAATAGTTTTAGGAATGCCAAAACAAGAAATGAATTTTGTTAAAGCTTTGAGAATAGCTTTAGTTTTAATACTACACATGGGAATTGCTTCGGGGTATCTGGTTACTTTATCCATAATCGTAAATAAATACTGATTCCAGATTTTGACCTAGGTAGTGGACCTACAAATCTATAATTAAATCTGCAAAAGGTTCTCCATAGCAGGTATAGGTTGGAGAGGTGCAGGTTTAATGGAATGCCCAAGGTTTTCCAACTTGCTGACATTCTTGGCAACACCTAATATGATTCTTCACATCTTTCTTTAATTTGGCCAATAAAATTCTTTTGTAAATCTATAAAAGGTTTTTGTAATTCCTAATGACCTCCTAATGACGTATTATGAGCTATATTTAATATTTGAGGTCTATACTTTGTTGGAACCACTAACCTGTTAAAACAATTGCCGGCCCTCTATCTCCTTACCAGTCTCATGCAGATCAAATAATCGTTTTTAACATCATACTTGACCGGATGACCCAAAGAGGATTTACCCATGGCGCCTCAAAAGCGAATTTTAAAAGAAGGGTCCTTTCGTTGTTCCTCCCGGAAGGACAGTCCCTGGGGCATGGAAACAGAGACATCTGGCAATCCTGCAACCTGGGAATAGGAAGGCTTGATGGGGGTCTGTTCACTTGATTTACGAGGCTCCGGCCGGTGTGCCTCGTAAAACAACGTGGCAAATTCCGAAAATCGGAGTCGTCCAAGGATAGGTCAACATTCTCTCCAGACAACCCTTGGGATGTTGCCCGAGTTATGGCAAAAACCGGAGAAGAATTAATCATTATAAAGGGTTTAGGACACGAACTAACAGTAGTAATGTTATTAAACCCCGTAATAACATGCATCTTTCATGGGGGAAACCTTTTGAGACACCTACAGTCAAGTTCCCAGTGTAAAATTTGCACTGTACAAAAAATTTATGCAAAGGAACAGAATATATAGCTCCTCCAAATGCTTCCAATAAAACAGAGGAATTCAAAGAAGTATTCTCTGAAAGGGGTAAAAATTCCCTCTCTTTCAGTGAGCAATATGCTCCAGTATCTCTAAAAGGGCTTTACCTTAGTTGTTTCTGAGTTTTTCCTGAAGGGGAAAAAAGACTTTTGCAATAATAAGGGGCCATACCTTTTTCTAAATTCTCTAGGGGGCATGTTTACTAGGGAATCAGAAGATTTTCCCAATGGGTTTTGGGGGTTTTATGGGGGCAGTTTTGGGACGATGTGACCTACTTTATTGCACCTGAAGCAGACGACAGGCTTGCCCTTTACTCCTGTTGACGTTGCAAAAAGGTGTCGTCGGGGTGGTGTCTCTCTGGATACTGTTGCGAGATGCACCACGAGTAGTTTGCCTCTCCGCAGGTTTGGGCCATATGTTTTAGAAGCGTGGCTCACCAGGTACTTAGTTAGGCTGACGTAGACGTTCTCCCTCCGCGGGACTTCATTCTCCAAGGGTTTACGATCTCTGCTGATGCCAGGCTGTTGAAAAGAGAGACGGGACCCCGCTCGGAAAAGGAGCGGTTAGTTTCGAAGGTATCAGCCAAACCTGGCTCCTCCAATGCAGGGGGTTAAGTCACGATCCTGCAGAAAGACTCAACCTCTGGTTCCCACAGACTCCCGCAGGTTATCAATCAGAAAAAGCTGCACCAGCTCCTCAAAGGTAAAAGGGCACCACTTGCTTATACCAGCTGGTAAAAACTTTGGTTTGCTGTCTCACAAAGTCCACTAGGGATTGACCAAGCTGTCGTCTGCCCCGCTTAAAATTTTTGCGGTATTTGCTGGGAAACATGTTAATGCTCCCAACACTGTGGTCCTTCACTACTTGATAATCAGAAAATTCAGCGTCATTTAATACTGACGTAAATTCCTGTGGGCCTTACCCGATAATGCTGTAAGAACCAACGATGCCCAATGCTGTTCCGGCCACCTCAGGCTCGAGCCTGATTTTTGAAGCTTTCGAAAAATTGCTCTGGTTCGGCCTCATTTAAGCGGGAACAAACTGTACTGCTTTTTGTAAACTAAAATCATTTACAGAATGCGAAAAACTGCCTCCTTTCCCCTTTCCCTATCAAATTCTTCCCTTGCGAATGCTCTCTGTTCCCTAGTTTGCTCAAGGAATTTATTTTTGCCAGCTCAAGTGCCAACGACGCTGATTCACCTTGAACAACCAGCTGCACATACTGGGCCCCTTTTGCTCCGTAGGTGTATCATCTTCCTCCTGCGAGAACATAGTAGTTTTTGCCCTACTCCCGTAAGGGAGGAGTCTGATGTGCCATCTCTTCTTCTATAAGTTTGTCAGCAATCAGTGAACGCAGTTGCGCAGCTGTGGGGAGTGCGTTTGTATGTAATGCCAATGGAACGAGCAATTTGCCAACAACGCTGTAGGGACAATTTAGGTAGGTTATGCAAAGTATATGCCGACACCAGACGTCTGACTCGTCTAGGTGGCATAAGTTATTCCTATGCACAGTAAAGATTGCAGAATACCCCAACGTAACACGTTAATTTGCAGAACAAAGCTTAGCTAATGCACAGTAAAGATTGCAGAATACGCATACAAGCAAAGCTGACTGCAAAATTCTCCCCACCGAACAGGCCAAATAACAACTGACACGCAAAAATTTGTAAAGCAATGCCAGACAGCAAGCGCACAATGTTCCTGCTACGAGCTTCACAACCTAAGCTCAACCGTTTCTCTAAGTCCAGCTCAACTCTCGGACAGGCTACCCATATTACAACCCAGGTTTCCAAATGGCCTGTTACCCCGGGTGTAATGGGAGCAAATTAAACACAGTAAAAAAGTTTAGACTTATATTTCCTTCACCAATTAAAAACAGCAATATGTACACTATGTACAGTGGTAAGTATAGTGCACTCCACGGTAAGCAAAGCAGAAATAGAAGCCACAAGATAGCAGACCGTGCTTCAACCAGCTCTAGAATGGGAATGACAAAGGCAGACAGGAGAGCGGTACCCACATAACCTCTGCGATTGCCAAACCATCTTCTTATTTTGGGTAGAACCTGGTCACTAGTTGAACGACGGGGCCCCATCGTCAACTCTTAGTCACCTGGTTCGCTGGTTGGGGG